ATTGTTCATGTCAGTCAGTTAATATTAAATGCAACAGCAAAAAGAGAGAGAGAGAGAGAGAGAGAGAGAGAGAGAGAGAGAGACGTGTGACTTATAGTCCGGAAAATATGGTAAATTGACCCTAAAGCTCAGATAAAACAAATAAAATAACTAAATATCTTTTTAAATGAGTTTTTAAAGCAGAATGTAGATTAGTTGTTGATTCAAGTATTCATTATTACTAGTACTACTAGTACTACTGCTACTACTATAACTACTGCTACCTTATGGATAAGTCCCCTGCTTTACAGTAACGTCCTTTTTCACCTCGATGATGATGATGGTGATGATGATGATGGAGGCCTTCAGGAAGCTCTGGTTCAGATCCAGATATTATCCGGGTGTTTTGTGGTGGTTAGGAAACAACCTGTTGTTGTGTTCCCGCCTCCACCTGATGAGGAGCGCAGGTCAGGACAGGTGTAATCTGAGCTGGYTTTCTGCTCTGATTAATCTCTGATTTTAACTCTTGGAACGGGTTGAAGGAACCSGTCAAAGTTTTGGACCCATTTACCTGTGGTTTACTCTAGAACCAGGTAGAGGACCTCACGGTGAATAGAATGATCTGACTTATGGTCTGAAACCAGATGGTGCAGCCTCTGGTCTTTCTCTTAAAACTGTTAAACAGATCTAAGGTAAAGAAAGCAGGTTGATCAGGTAACTCGACCAGGTAAAATCCAGTTAGAACCAGGTAAAGTCTAGGTCGAGCCAGGTAGAACCAGGTATAGTCCAGTTAGAACCAGGTAAAGTCTAGGTCGAGCCAGGTAGAACCAGGTATAGTCCAGTTAGAACCAGGTAAAGTCTAGGTCGAGCCAGGTAGAACCAGGTATAGTCCAGTTAGAACCAGGTAAAGTCTAGGTCGAGCCAGGTAGAACCAGGTATAGTCCAGTTAGAACCAGGTAAAGTCTAGGTCGAGCCAGGTAGAACCAGGTATAGTCCAGTTAGAACCAGGTAAAGTCTAGGTCGAG